ACTCGTTTGTTTTGCTAGCTGCTAACTTTGAGGATCGACTCTAGAAGCTAACAGCAGCCATGACAGTAAAACTTTACAAGACAATCTGAAGATTATCAGAGAATCTTCTAGAAATAAAACTAACCGACGGTCAGCTGCCACCGGATGGTCAGCTGCCACCCGACGGTCAGCTGCCTCCCGACGGTCAGCTGCCACCAGACGGTCAGCTGCCACTGGACCCCAGGAATGATTCAACAATTTATCACGGTGTCTGAATGTCCTGAATAATAAATGACTGTTTTCTCTTCCCACAGTCAATCAGTGAAAGATCAATCCTGGCTGGATGTATTAAGCGGTTGGATGCATTAAGCAGTTGGATGCATTAAGCGGTTGGATGTATTAAGCGGTTGGATGCATTAAGCAGTTGGATGCATTCAGCATTTTACATCTTGCTAAAATTGATCATAAAATGAAATAAAATTCTAATTAAAGCGAGAAACTTTGTGTTTCTAAAAAATTTTGCATCTCATTATAGCGATATATAAAACTAGTTTTACTCGTAAACTTGTAAATAAATATAAATCTTTAAAGTTTCTGGTTTTTATCAGATTCTGCTCCTGAGTTTATTTCCTTCTCTGGCACCGTATGTTTTATTGGTGCCAGTTTTCCAGTAAATGTTTATTAGCGTTATCAAACCAAAGCTAAACTGTTCTTAATTAAATGAAAGCGCCTTCAGGGCGTTTTCTCTTTATTACAGGATTTTATTTTCTCTGTCCTACAAACGTCATCGTGTCGATTCAAAATGTCTCCTTGTGTCTTAGCGTGCGGCCTTAGCTCGTGACATTAGCTCGCGTTTCTCCGCCATTAGCACATTTAGCAGCACCTACACAAGTGTGATTAACAGCGCTATGCCCCTCCTATTGATGATCTGTCGTACCATTCAGTCTCTACATAGTTTTAACAAAGACATTTTTTATAAAAGTTACTGCAGCTTTAAATAAACTTCAAACATTCAGGTGTATCCTGGAGGAGGAAGAGGAGCTGTACTCTTCATCCTCCTCCTCGTGGCGTGGCTCCGTGGCTCTGTGGCACCGTGGCTCTGTGGCACCGTGGCTCTGTGGCACCGTGGCTCTGTGGCTCTGTGGCACTGTTGCTCCGTGGCTCCATGGCTCCGTGGCTCTGTGGCACCGTGGCTCTGTGGCTCCGTGGCTCTGTGGCTCCGTGGCTCTGTGGCACCGTGGCTCCGTGGCACCATGGCTCCGTGGCTCTGTGGCACCGTGGCTCTGTGGCACCGTGGCTCTGTGGCTCTATGTTTTCATTTAATCCAGAGAATCTCCTGAACCAGAACCAGAACCCGGTTAAAGCAGAACAGAAATGTTTTCCTACCAGACTCTTCCAGCCTTCTGGGCCGCGGGGCCGGTTCTGTTTGCTCTAATTAAAGTTCTGCTCATATTTGATCAGTGAGGTCTGGGTCGACCCGTCTCACCGCGCTGATCATGAGGGATTCTGGGTAAATGTTCGGGACGGTTCTGCAACATTAACCACTGCAAACGTTAAACAGTAAATCTCTGAAATAATCATAAAACCCGGAAACAGCAAACGGTTTGGATTCTGGGTCTGGTTTATGTTCTGGTTCTGGCAGCAGAAGTGACTGCGATCTCTGCAGAGCTCTTACTGCTCATCAACTGGGTCAAAGGTCAAACATTAACCGGGGGTTACCGCCTGGTTCCGGTCCAGAGCAGAAAGCTGAGGTTTTCTGGGATGTTCTGGACGTGAATCCGTCCAGAACAAACCGGTAGAAGCTGCGTTAGCGGTTAGCCAGAGAGAGAGCAGCAGAGCTGTGAGTGTGATGGAGAGAGACAGCAATAAACTGGACTCTATTAGAGCTGCTGTCCACCAATCTGGCAACCCGCATCCCCCCCGAGGGCAGCAGCCGCTCCGCTCTGCGCCGGGCTGTAAGGAGGTCCGCTTCCTGTTTATTGTTCTGAAACGGTTCTGGTCCGTTTCCATCTTCAGACGCTAGAGAAAATGAGCTCATTTATCTGGGAAGCAGCCATTTCCCCTCAGTCACTGCAGTACATCTTCATCCAGGGTCAGAGGTCAAACAGCAGAAAACTTCCTGTTGGTTCCCTCTGATTCCTATAAATCAGCTCCCAGTGTCAGTTCTACATTCCCAGTAACTCCAGTAAACCTCCCAGTTTACAACAATAAAACATAGATCTGCTGTTGTACCAACACTCCCGACCCCTCAGGTTCTGGTTCTGGTTCTGCTCTGCATCCAGAAGAAGAACCGAACGAGGAGAAGCAGCTTCTATGCACCACAAATTTGGAACAAACTTCCAGAAAACTGTAAAACGACTGAAACACCGAGAGCCTTTAAATCTCCACTTGAAACCCAGCTGGTTAGAGTTGGATTTGGAACAACTAGGATTGGATCCCGACCCGGGTTCTAGTGCTGGAGAAAAGAGGTGCGGGTTTAGACCCCCCCCCCCAGTTGTTTTTTTCCTGCCGATTTGAAGGGCAGAACTTCGACTCGGCAGGAAATTTAATGTTTTTGATTGTTTATTCAATGTTGCATGATTCTGTGTTTTTGTGTTTTATGATGTAAAGCACTTTGAAATTTCTTGTTGCTGAAATGTGCTATACAAATAAAATTTGAGTGATTAATAGATGGATGCATTAGCACGTTAGCATTAGCTTCTGTTGATTCCTTTGTAGGTGTTGCACTTTAGCTAAGCAAATGTTCATGATTAGCACTTTAGAATTAGTCTACATGAAATACTGTGTTGATGTAGCAGTTTATCATTAGCAGAGCTAATGTTGATGATTAGCATCTAGCATTAGCTTCTGGTAAATCCTGTTATTACACTTTAACAACCTTAGAACCAGTGTTTATGATTAGTGCTTTCATGTTAGCTTGCTTTAAATCCTGTCTTTGGTGTAACACGTTAATGGAACTACTAGCATTTAGCACTAGCTTCAGTTAAGTCCTGTGTTGGTTTAGCATTTTAGCTGAACTAATGTTTACAATTAGCATTTTAATGTTAGCCTCCACTAAATGCTGTGATAGTGTAGCGCTTTAGCGTCCTTCAGACTAATGTTTATGATTAGCACTTTATTGTTAGCACAGCTAACGTTTTAGTTTAGACACGGTGATGCTGTCAGATCTGGTTCTGGTTCTGATCAGATGAGTAACTTGTGGGTTAGAGTGGCGCCGGTGTTTAATCAGCGCTGCAGGTTATTGATGCCGCAGCAAAGCGGCTATCAGGAAGCTGATTGGTTGCTAGTGATTCAGAGGCGACTGATTGGATGAAAACAAATGGTTCTGATGACTGATGGGACCCGTCCAGAACCCAGATGGCGCCATGGATTGTTGATGCAGCTGTTTGTTTCTTTAATCCATGAAGATTCATCTCTATACTTTATTCTGGGCTTTTTTAAATGAAGTTTCCTCCTTAAATCATGATCAGTGGAGTTGTGGACTTTGACTAGGCCCTGCAGCACCTTGCTCCTCAGTGGTTCTGCTGCTGAAGCGGTGAAGCTCCTTGGTTTTTTCATGTCACTGTTTGTTTATGAAGTTTTTCTATGAAACGACAGGAAAAGGAGCAGCAGCTTCTCTTTCTCCACCTGTCGGTCGTCACAACGCCGAAGCTCAGCTTACAGACACACAACCTGAACTGCATCATGAGCCATCAGGGCTCACACACACTCTGACACACACCCCAGGACGCTGTGTGTCCTCACAGTGCTCTAAACATCCACAGAGGCTCTCCGCTGTGAGGAAGAGGAGAAACATGAACCTCCTCATCCTCCTAATGACGCCGGCTTCCTGCTCTCACTCCATCCTAATACAATTAATGAACACACACACACACACTCATTCACACACTCAGGAGACTTCCTGTTTGTCTTACAGCTGCTATCGACCCACACACACACACACACACTAACGCCCACAAGAAGCTTTAAGTGGGAGTGAAGTGGAGGAGAGATGATGGGCAGAGAGAAAAACCACAGAGAAAATATCTGAATGAAGAGCGAGACGAGTTTTTCAGAACTGGACCGGACCGGTTCTGGACGGGTACAGGACCGCTCCAGGTTCCTGTCATTTTCATCTGATAGAACAGAACAGTTTAAGTGGTCCAGCTAACAGCTCTGCAGACCACGCATATGCTGGACACCCACACATATTTGGTTTATTGTGTTTTGATAAACAGGTTTAGTTCCACTAACGACATTCAGTTTTTACAGTGTATCAGTGCAAAACAGTTAGTTTTGCCTTAAGATGGAAAATACAGAAAAATGAGCAGATTATGCTAATTGGTTGTATCTTTATGCTTTAGCTAACGTAGCATGTTTTATTCTGTAGCAAAGGTAGCATACCTTCTGTAACGTTGATTTAACCAGTTCTGATCCAGAGTTCTAGTCCAGAACCGGTTCTGGTCTTGCTGCAACCATCAGTGGCTCCATAAAGCCTAACTAAAGTAAGTTCTGGTGAGTCCAGAACGTTTAAATGATCAGTATCAACCCTGTTAAGAGTTATGGTGTGTGTGTGTGTGTGTGTGTGTGTAATGGATAAGTGAATAATGGATGGAGGCGTTTGGAGCCGTGAAGCAGCAGCTGCTGTGCTAAACGCGTCTTTAAGGCCAGATCAGCCTGTTTCTGCCGCTCGCCTTCAGCTTCATGTGCTGCTGTTTAAGTATTTACGCTGCTGGAGACCAAACCTGTCAGGAGGAACTGAAACAGTCGCTGCTGCTCAGGAAGCTGGTAAAACTTCACCGCTGCTGCTGCTGCTCACCTGGAAATCTCTGCTGGTTTCCCTGTTTCTGCTCCAGGAAGTCACTTTGGTTGGTTTCCTGTTTAAAGATGAGAAAGAAGAAAAAGGAGAATAAAGAAACATGGACCAGCTGCGGGTTATCCAGACGTCACATAAATATATTTACAGTTACAGGATAAAAAACTACAACTTATTGTTTTATTCGACAAAAACATAAACGGTTTCTTCTTCTTCTTCTGCGGCTAAAGGTCAAACAGAGCACTTAACGAGCAATTAGCAGAGGGGAAATGTGGGCCGCCCCTCTGAATTATTCACCGCCATTGCAGGGAGAGAGCCAGCCTCCGTCAGCCAATCGGACGCTGCGCAGCTTAAGTGGCTTTGCATTAGCCGGCCGGGGATTCTGGGTAATGGCTGTTATTTCCAGCTGATGTAGTCAGAGTGACCGATGGTTCTGATCCACCTGCAGCTGGTTCTGCTGGTTCTGTTGGTTCTGTTGGTTCTGTTGGTTCTGTTGGTTCTGCTGGTTCTGTTGGGTCAGCAGCAGATGAAGCTGCTGGTGATTCAGGTCAGCTGTTGATTCTGATGATGAGGAGGAGGAAGAGGACTGAGTCATGAGACACTCATCACGTCTCCTGGAGCTCCAGCAGATGGACAGTAGGCGACACACACACACACACACACACACACACACACACACTCACACACATACACACTCACACACACACTCACACACAGACACACACACACACACACACACACGCTGCATCTATCAGCTAACAGCCGTTCCATCAGAACATGAAACGTTAAAACACCAGAACCAATCGGACCTCAGTCGGTTCTGATCGACTCACAGAAACCAGAACAACCCAGTTAAACCAGTAACCAGCTGGAACTGTTCTGCTGGATTCTCCCCGTTAGAAACAGAAACCGGTTTGACATCAGTTTGGTGGATCAGCTTCAGCTTCCTGCTTTCATTTCCATTCACCTGTTTTTGGTCTTTGGCCAAAGACTGAAGGAGAACCTTCCAGCCTGGAACCTGGAGCCGCCGTTTGGTTTCCGTCTGGTTTCCGTTTGGTTTCCGTCTGGTTTCCATTTGGTTTCTGTTTGGTTTCCATTTGGTTTCCGTTTGGTTTCCGTCTGGTTTCCGTTTGGTTTCCGTTTGGTTTCCGTCTGGTTTCCATTTGGTTTCTGTTTGGTTTCTGTTTGGTTTCCATCTGGTT